TCTTGGAAATCAAAGTTACAGTATGCTGCTTAGTATTTTTAAGACAATTATCTCCTCCAGCAAATCTTTCAGAATTCCACCACAGATAATATAGAAGCAAAAGGAGTTATAAACAAATTGTCAACATACCTTTTAGAGCCTTGGCTGAATGAAGTACAGTGTTTCTGGTATTTTTACTGGTCCTATTACCCACCTCATCCTAAACTTATATACACACACAGTAGAGCCAGAATATGTGTTTTATCAAGTAAAATTCTGTCAACTTGACTGTGTTTTCTGACTTGCATGGTAAACTGAGTGATCTCACCTAGCCTACTGACTGCTCAACTGTACAATCCTGATATGACTTCTGCCCAAGGGATAGAACTAAGAGGAACAGGAAATTTTTATCACCAGTGAGTAGCATCATTTAACACCTGAGTGCACACACAAAACACTACTTTAAAAACTATCAAGTTAATATGTGCTCAAAATTTGTCTTCAGTGCCAGAGAATAAAGCCTCAGGACTTTCTATTTCTATGCCCTAACTAGATCTAAAAACCATCAATGAAAATTAAACTCCATCTGTGCTTATTTTTCTTCACTTAATTTTTACAGGATTTCCCTTTAGATATAATAATTTAATTATTAAAAAGGAGGCTCCTTTCTTCTATATATCAGTTTACCCAATTTATCTAATATGCAAAATTCTTAGTTTATCCCTACAATTAAGTCTCCCCCAATCAAATTTATTACTTTTGGTTTCACATATCCCTGTACAGACATATTTCAGTGTGTGATCTTATAATCTTTTTTCTTATCATTAGTTCTCAGTCACAGGATACTGTTTTATCTTTGTAACCCAAGTCAATTTTTTGAGGTATAATTTACAGTGAGTGAAATGCAAGCGTCATAACTGATGAATACTGACAGGCATATACATACCTGTGTGATTGCCACATTCATCACGACATAGAACATCTGCCACCCAAAGTTCCCTGGGCTCCTTGCTAGTCATGCAGTTAACCCATCTTGGCCTTAGAAATGATCTTATTGCATTCCTCACTGGTTTTGCCTATGTAGTAATTTCAAATAAATATAAATTTACAGCATGTACTCTTTCTATCTGATTTATCTCATTCACAACGTCTTGAAGATTCAGCCATGTTAGTATTTCTAGTAGGAGCTTATTCCTTTCTATTGCTTATCCACTATTTACTCTATCATAATTCACATATCTGGTCACTGGGAAATGAACATTTGGGCTGGTTTTGTTTTTTGGCTAGTATGCATAGAACGGCTGTGAATACTTGTAAACAAGTCTTTTAGTGGGAGATACACTATGTGTATATTTATCTTGGGACACTACTTAATAGAAATATAATGTTTTTCTACCTAGCAGAAATATGTATAAACAACAAAATATGTACCAATTTTTAAAATATGTAACTTCACTTCACGTGTATTGAAGATCTGCTATTTATTCATTCTGAAGGAATTATCTCTTAAAAGACTCAAGCTCACTATGTAACTGTCACTTCTGTACATGTGTTGGGATACACTTACCACGTAACCCACATTCAAAGTTGTTTCCTCAACCCCTCAATTTTATACCTGCTACTTACCAGCAGTTTAGAGGTATAATTAAGATCTCATGTTATAAAATATGGAGACATAAATACCACAGGAAATATGAGATCATTTTAGAAGAGTTAATGTTTTTAGTACACTCATTTAAAAAAATTGTTCAATTTGCCTTTTAGTTTCATAGCTGTAAGTACCAGAAAAATGTATTTCCTGAGAGCTGTAACTATAGGAGCATAGTATAAGAAGCTGAACAGAACTGTGCAGGAAGATCTGATACCTAGCTCTGTTCTTCCTGAGCAGAGTGATTCAAAACAACTAGAGTGACTTAACTATGGTTTTAATTTGCCAAAGGTGCTCGGTTAGTCCAGTTATCAACTTGGTGTACCCAGTCTTTTTTGCAAAACAGCGCAGATTACACTCAGGAAGCCCTCATTTAGTTTCAAGTCAGTTTCAGGTCTCACACAGCCCAACAGATATACCAAGATGGATTTTATCTATCAGTTAGAAAAGACAGACAAATCAGCAAAAGTGTCTCAATAACCCTGAGGGAGGTAAAAAGGAAAGAGCATCTGAATACACTGTGATATCCTGGACTGGAATGAAAAAACGGTAGTAGCAGAAAAACTAGAACACAGGTAATGTCTGGAGTTTAAACTTGATCTTTACTATTTCTGCCAATTACCTCCTGTTTAGCACAGGTTTTCATGCACCCTCATCTAGCTCATGATAACAGATATTTTTGTGGATTTCTCCACTAACATGCACTTTTACCTCTCCACACCTACACACACTAGCTTAATGATATTCAGCAGGTCTTATTATAGCCCTCATTTTAAATCCTGAAACAGACTCCATCATTTATCTCACCAAATCAAAAACTTAGCAGCCCCAAATTAAGATTTTTTTGTCAATTAACTGATTCAACACTTCTGTTCAATATCATTTTCTCTACACTTGATTAAATCTTTCTTAGAGACAACCCAATCTATTAAAGAGCAATCTCCTATTCAGCATTATTTATTCAAATTGTGCTGGCTCAACTCTTAGCCCTCTACCTGTTTTATTCCTATAAATGATATGTCTCTATATTCATCTCTGTAACATCTGGTAGGCTTTAATTCACTATTCCATTTTTGTTTTTTCTAACTGGTACATAGCAATGAACCTTTCTAGCCAGACTTCTGGGTGCCTAATTTGGAATAAGTTAAGAATTATGTGTGAAATGACTCATATTATTTAATCTAAGGACTACCAGCTGTAAGGACAGCAGTATTTTTTCATTTTATGGAGCACATATCTGACAAATGATACAAAGAACAGAAATCAGATCTGAATTAAGGGCTCACTCAGATTATTGGGCTCTCATACCACACCCAATCACCCTACAGTTAGACACAGAAGTCTCTATAAAACAGATATCTAACAAATGTTTAAAGCAAGACTTTAAAAAACGCTGTACTATTTATAAGCTGAATTTTGAAGTGGAAATTGGAAGAGAAGAAAATGTGTTTGGTGATATTAATAGGATAAAAAAACCTCGACCCTCCCACGTTTAAAGACCCACTCCAAAAAATGAGGATATCAGATGAATGGACACTTCTCAGAAGAAGTAGAAACAACAAATAAATATACGAAAAAATATTCAACATCACTGGTCATTCTAGAGATGCAAATAAAACAACACTGAGATTCCATCTCACTCTAGAAAGAATGACTATCATTAAGAATAAGCTAATAAGTGCTGGAGGGTGTAAGGAAAAATGAACCCTTCACCACTACTGGTGGCAGTGTAGATTGATGCAACCAATGTGGAAATCAGTGAGGAGATTCCTCAAAAAACTAAGGCTATAGTTCCCATTCAACACATTCTCTTTCTTCATATCTCCTCAAAAGAATTAAAAGCATTATACCACAGTGATACATGCACACTATGTTTATAGAGGCACAGTTTGTAATAGCTGCATCTTGGAAAAATCCCAAGTGCCCGTGAACTGATGAATGGGTAAAGAAGACTTTTTTATACAATGGAGCACTACTTAGTCATGAAGGATAAATGAGACACTTCTAGGTAAATGGATGTATCTTGAGACCATACTCTTAAGTGAAATAAATTGGACATACATATGTAAATACCGCATTGTTTCTCTGATGTGAGTAACTAAAAGTGTAATTAAGGACCAAAATTTATAATAGATATTGCAAAATAGAAAATGTTCAAATTGGAAGGGGGAACTGGTGACAGGGGTAGGGGAAAGGAAGAGAAAAATTGAGAAAATAAGGTAAAAATGGAAACAAAGCTTTTGTAAATAAAAGAGAAGTTGAAGGAAATATAGGAGATTGGGGGGAAAAAGAATCAAGTAATATCATGTAAAGGTACGAATTCCCTGCAATGAATGCGGCCATTATGTATACCTAAAATGTACCCATAAACTTAATTTTAAAAAGCTGACAGATACTTGGAAGTTAACAGAAAGGTAGTAACTGCTGGTGCCTTGTCATCAACAACTAACGCAGATTAAGGGCAGAAGATTGAATTAATAAAAAGAAGTAGAAAAAAAAGCTACTGAAAGGAACTACCAGGAGCTTCAGGAACAACCCCAATTACAATGCAAACTCCATCACACAAGGCAGAGTCGGCACTTTCACTGCTGGTGATTATGCTCTACAAAATTTATTTATTTTTTTAGAAAGGTAACCTGGTAGCATGCATCAAGATGCTAAAAGGCTCATACTTATCTTTTTTAGAACAAGGAAATACCAATTTATTCACATGTCCATACATTCAACAGACATTTATTGGGGACAGGACTAAATTCAGGGTAGAATACACAGTAAATGTGACATATGATTACTTATGATTTGAACAGCAACAATATTAAATTTCTGTGCATGATGATATGGCCAAATGACGCCAACCTGACCTTACTTCCTTTACTTTAACATGTATGCACGTTCATAGTAATGGAGTTCAGTATGACTGTTCAGCACACACACATGGTCTGCAAGGAGCAAACCAGGCTCCCTCCACCCCCACAACCCCTCCCACCCGTAGCAGTTACCTTTCTAATTTGGGTGGACTTCCACATGGGGAGACCATGCAGTCCTTGTGTCTCGCTTATTTCATTTTAACATGATGTCTCCTGGTTTAATCTATTTTTCTGCAAATGTCAGGACTGCATTCTTCTTTATGGCTGCTAATATGGTACACACACTGTAACTCTAATTTCACTTCTGGGTGCTTATTTGAGGAAATAATCTCTAATAAAGTTTTTATTTTATGTATAAAGAGGCTCTCAAAATTTCTTCAATTAAAAAGTGAAAACAATTAAGAGTAGGAAAATAAATACTGTAAACCTGTAATTACTATTATTAGGTCTTCCTTCATATTTCTCTTGAGTCTCCTTAACCAATTTTTTTTTTTTTTTTTACACAGGGTCTCCCCATGTAGTTCGGGCTGGCCTTGATTTCAAGCTCTCTGCCACCCACCACGCCTGGTGCTCTAATAAACATGCTTTGAAGCTACGCCTCCTCCTGCTGATCTGGTGCCTCACCTGCAGTTTATACAGAGTTCAATTACTGTACTGCGGTTTTGTTTTGTTTTTGTCTTTTGAAACAAGGTCTCGCTCTGCTGTTCAGGCTGCCTTGGGCTCACTTTGTAGCTCAGGTTGGTCCTCCTGCTCCAGCCTCCCAAGTGCTGGGATTACAAGAGTGCGCCACCATGCCTGGCTTTGTGTCATGTTTGTTTTACATTCTAAATGATGTTATCCTTGAGGACAGAAATTAAGTTATAGTCACATCAGTGTCCTCAGCACATAGCAGTTAGAAATAACTTTTAGAGAAATGAAATAACAAATTACACAGGAGCCACACTTGGATGAGAATGTGGTCAACAAGGGATAAATTTAAATCTCTAAAGATAGCCCCAAAGAACAGAAGCTGTAAATATCAGAAAACATAAGGAATATACTTCTAACCCAAGGGACAAAAGTTTCCTATTAGAAGATGTAACAACAGCTGTATTACCCTGACAGTGTTTTCATGGGATATTAACAACATGAAACAGATGAGGCTGACGCTAACAAAGTATATGGATAAGAACAGGGCTCTGCTGTGATAGAGACCTAGGCCTGAGTCTTAATCTCCTCACTGAAAAAACAAAAGTGACGCTTACAAACTTGTCACTATCAACCAAGATGATGCATATAAAATTACTTAGCACACTATTTGCAAAACACCATTTTGCAAAAATTAACTATTATGATAAATTCTAAAACTTCTGGTCTGTACCTACATCAGTTATTTTAGATGTGAAGGAAAGAAATAACTCAAAGAAATCTAAGTACAGCTCGGAACTGTGAAGTTTTGGATAAAAGCTTCACGTCCTTAGAGCTCAGTTTATAGTCATACCTCTTTTTATTACTGGTGATCTGGACTCTGGAGAAGGAAAGCAGATATATAAAGTACAGACAATATTTAAAGATGGAATGTGGATTTTAGGTAAAGAATGACTGTAAGTAAAGAAGTGAAAAACCAAATGAAACAAGTATCATGAAAGAAAATGCTTGGTTAGAGAATAATCCAAATTAGCACTGTGTTGAAGGTGCTGGTTTCATTTTGTTTTGTTTTTGTTTTTGTCTTTTTGAGACAGGGTCTCACTGTGCAGTTCAGGCTGGCCTTCAGCTCACTTTGTAGCCCATGCTGGCCTCAAACTCACAATGATCCTCCTGCCTCAGCCTCCCGAGTGGTAGGATTACGGGCATGTGCTACCACATTTGGCTTGAAGTTCCTGTTCTGTACCACTTCAGCACACTAGTAATAATAACAGTAGTAGCAATAATACAGTATGACAACAGCAGCAGTAGCTAACACTAAGGTACTTACGATGTGCCAGGTACTATAAATGTATTTTATGTGTAACTCGCTCAGCCTATTGACTTTTAGAGGAAAGCAATTTAGGCTTGAAGTTAAACCACATCCTCTCTAGGTATGATGTCACATTCCCTCCTCTGGGAAGTTGACGCAGGAGGATCACAAGTTCAAGCCCAGGCCTGGGGAACTCAGTGACTTAGTGAGACCTTGTCCCAAAAACAAAAGAAATTTAAAAAAGGGTTGGAGATGTACCTCAGTGTGAAAGCCTTTGATTCAATACGCAGTACTACAATCACAGAAATCAAAGCAAAGTAAAACAACACAACAACACACATGTTTAGTTACATCTTCCTGTCGTTAACATCCTCTGTTTACTAACTTCTGAGTTTTAGTTTCCTAATGTCTAACTGGAGATGAGACTATATATAGCCCACAGAGTCAATATAAGTGTCATCTAATGTATTATAATGCCTAATACCTAGCAGATACTCTGGCAATTGTATCTTCATTATTACTGTTGATATTAAAATAATTATTAAGTCATAGGACCAAGGACATCATTCCACAAGCATGACAGGTAAAGCTTACAAAGAAGACTCTCTACTCATTTTTAGTGTTACTTTTATCCTCTTAAAAATAGGTAAGCATTCCATGTCTTTAAGTTTTTTCTCAGCACCAATTACACATGAATAAAAAATGGAGTATTTAAAGATTTTAAGTTTTTTTCTCCTAGGGCTGGTAGTGTTAAAAATACTACAGTTCTGCAAAGTAAATAGTGCTGAGAAGAATGAAAATGGCATATGGCTGAGGAATCTTCCAAAGAAACTACTCCATGCAGTCATCTCCTGTTCTTTTCTCTGCCTTTTAAGGTCACAGTAACATGATGGAAAATCTGGGACTCAACCATCTGTCCAGACAGTTCTACCACTGCTCATTTCTCTTGTTAAATAGTCGGAGCACTTCACACTTCCCCAACACTGCTACTATAAAGAGCAGCTGAAGCAGAATGAAGGAAGCTTTCTCCATCCAGAAATGGAGCAGTTGGAAATGAATAGCTCCTCCGAGGTTTGTAGATTTAAGGTCAGGTCAGTGAGAAGAACAATTCATTCCTTAGAAATTTAAGAAAAAGACTCTGATACTGGGTCTAGAAATAACCTTTCCTGGAAAAACAGTGATGGGCTTGTATGAGTTCCCTATGAACAGACACAGCAACTTTGCACTGAAATAAAGGCACAGGTCACCAGACAAACAGAACAGTCTCCTTTAGTACTACTGTAATAAATTATTAATAGCAATTAATAGTTTACCTTGCACTCAGGACACCCTTCAATGCCCAATGCATTAACTCTTTCAATCCTTAAAGTCACTCTATTCCTATTATTATTTCCTATGTTACAGTTGAGAAAACTTATGCAGAGAGGTTGCCCAAGGTAATATTGCTCATAAAATGTACAGCTTAGATATTAAAGCAAGCATTCTTGCTCTGTGACCTTATTTTCTGTTCTACTATCTTACACTTTTCTTAAAAAGCCTCCTAAAATGATTAAATTTAGCATCTCCAATATATTTTGAAGAAGTAAAATGTAGCTGAACATCACACTTCTGCTCCATTTTTCTAGCCACAAGACTGCATCAATTACACATTAATTTACTAATTTTAAAATATCTTTACAATGTTTATGTAGCACAATGGAGTTTGTTTTCATAAAGCAAAGTATTTTTTTATAATAAATGAAAATTTCAAAGAATATACTTTAGGATTAGTGTCAAATTGGAGACACAGTACTTTATGACTTTGGGAAAAAGGTCTGGACTGCTCTGAAACCTCCAGAACAAGTTCAGTCTTAAATGGAGATTTCTTGACCTCAGGGTCGCAACAGGATAGGTCACCGTAACCAGGAGAAACCAGAAAGCACCAGGAATTCGACTGGGTTTAGAAAATACTCTCCTTTATGCTCAAAGGCTCAAACTTATTTATTAATAGAAGCCTCAGTCAGTAAGGTAAATATATGCTACTGGCTAGATGACTGCCACAATAACAGCAGTAATAACAGTGGTCACATTAGGACTTAAAACATTGAACAATATCAATGATAATCCCCTAAATATGGCTAAATTACTAAGTGCCAGGCACCTCGCTATGTCTTGTACATTGGAGAGGTGGGTTAGTGGTTAGAAGTATGAAGTCTAGAGACACTGCTGTCTGTCTGATTTCTTTACTTATTTGCAAAATATGTAAAATATTCAGAACAATGCCTAATAGTAGTCATTATCTAAGTGATAGATGAGGTGCTTAATGTTCCGAGAAGCTAAAGGACACAAATTAGGATGCAAATGAGGTTTGGTGTGAGGAACCACTCAGACTGCCTCACAGTTCAGCGGTGTTGGTGTTGAAGGCCATCTGAGGACGTGACCCTTTTGTCTGGTGCAGGCCCGCTGCGGGATACAGGTATATAAGCATGTCTTAGCAGGTGAACATGCAGGCGCTGCTTACAGCACAATGTAAGAATGTAAACATGAGGTAACAACCTGTGTAAGGGTTATACAACAAAGGGCAGGCGGTTCTCTTGCTTTTGTGCTCTGGCTCTCTGCTCTGCTCTATTATGCCTGCTGGTGTTGCACACGAGTCTTGCACACGTGTATTCTTTAACATTGCGACCTCAGCCTTGAAAATCTCCTTTGGGCCCCCTGTGTGGGCCGAAGCCAGGTCTGTAGGACTTCAAAGTCCAAGCTCCTATATTCCTATTCTTATTCTTTGTCTTAGAGAAGTTGGCAATGTTGCTCCTTTCTAGGTAGCATGTAAAATAATGGTACATCTTATATTGGATATTATCTTACATTGGATAAAATATGGTAACTGGTGAGCCCAATGCGTATCCTTTAAGGATCAGGCCTGTCCTTGAACTTGCAGTGATTCTCACGCCTCTGCTTCCTGAGTGCTGGGATTGAAGTTGTGGGCCAAAATGCCAAGCTAAAGTTATATGCTAAAGCTCGCTCAGCACACACAGACTCAGCCTTATTCAATTTCTTAATTGCTCCTGAACTATCTTCTTTCTAATCCTCACCTATCCATGTAATTATCAAGTTCTTACAGCTCTAAGGTTCTAGACTTGATTTCTGTGTTTCTGGCTTTAAAGATCTCTCTGGTGACTCAAATCTTTAAAAATAGTAACTCCTTCGACTGACAAACGTAGGGACACTTTCTCCTCACAGGCTGTACTCTGAGGCAGTGGTCCCTACACAAGCACAACTGGACTCTTCAGGTAAGATGGGAAAGTATTATCTAATACCGGACACTTGACAGATGTAGGGTTTTTTGTTTGTTTTTCCTTTTAGTTATATCTTTAATTCTACCTTCAGAAGTTAGTAAGTACTTATCGGATTCGTACTTAAATTTTTTTCCTGTTTTGGCCTGAGTGCCTCCATTCCACATATAGTCAGTCTCTTCATAGAAGAAAAAAATGTCAAGTTTTACTCCATCTTTCCCTTGGAAGGATAGTTCCAGGCTGTCTTCCACCTAGGGAGAAGACAAAACCAGCACAGATTGAAACAAAGACAAGATATTTTTAAAAACTTTTTTAAATAAAGAAAAAGTCTTATATTTTTACATAGAATATTACTTTTAAGACGCATGCTTTTTGTGAGTTGGAGCACCACTAAGATGGGGAGGGGGTATGCCAGCCGAATACCATTTACCTTTTTTGGTGGGGTATTGAGACTAGGTCTCTCAATGTAGCCTAGGCTGGCCTTTAACTCACTGTGTAGTCCAGGCTGTCCTCAAACGTACAGCAATCCTCCTGCCTCAGCTTCCCAACGGCTAGGATTACAGGCATGCACCACTATGCCCAGCTTATTTTTTTTAAATGCATATAAAATAATTTTTATTACAACTAATGAACCTCAGAATAACTGCCTTATGGTAGGTAAAATTATCTCTCCACAGAAAACAGAAATATCACATTCCAGAGTCCCTTTCTAACTAAAGAAGGTAAGAAAGAGAAAAAAATCACTCCCTTTAATAACCAAGAAAGACTATAAGGAAATAAGTTTCTCACTGCAATCATAAATGTTATTTTATATAGCCACACACATAACAGCAATTATATCATTTACATGAACAAGAAATAAAAAAATTAAGATACAGGGAAAGAAATGACAGAATTTCCCTACAAAAACATCCCAAAGTAATTATGCTCTTATTGGATCTAGGAATCTGTCTGTTATAGTGCATATAATAATTTATATTTTCTTCCCCTTCCAATTACGCAGTGAAGTCTTCAAGTGTAAGAATTACTGTAATTTACTCATCTTTGTGTTGCAGTTACAGAGCAAAGCCAGTCATACGGCAAGTATCTGGGGCAAATGTTTGTTGAATGACTAAGTTCCTTTACTTTTTTTTTGATCTTAGGATAAAATTTTTTTCAACTATTCTAGCACACTAGAATCACCTCTCATGATAAGAGAAGTAATTTAATAGGAACTAAACATGTTTCTACTTGCTTTGCAGTATAATACCTTCCAAGGAACAAACAAATTAAGTATGATCGCAAGGGATCAGGATTTAAGACAAAAAAATCAAATTGTCTAGGGCAAGTTTACACCTAGAACATGATGACCTATTTCTGGTTGGCCCCTACAGAAACTGCTAAAACTCAAGACGTATGCAATAAACAAGAAATTTATGTACTGCTCCTAGCAATCGAGAGAACATTTATACTTATAATCACATCCATTTCTAAGGGAAAATAAAATTAAATTATTCATAAGAAAATATAAACTCATAAGGCTGAGTAGGACTCTACTTTTTACATTAATTTTATATCATTGTCCAATACAGTGGCAATAAATTCATTTATAAGGGTCTAGTATCCTTGTTTTATTTTTTTTTTACTGCCTATGAAAAGCCAGATTTTCTAGCTTTTATTTAAACAGGGCACAAATCACAAGTAGTAACAACAAGCTTCTGTTGAACTCATCATGGTTAAAACTGAGTGATAAAATTATGTAAGTGTTCTTAGCCATGTCTGAGTTCTTAATAACTTTTAAAACTGAGACATATTAGTTAAAAAATAAAGCTGATTTTTGTTACTGACCTTCCCAAACTTGTGTTTGAGTGGAAGTCCTGCCTCTTGAAACGCTAAAATAATATCGTATTTGTAATCTTGTATAAAAACCCCTAGGTCGACATCTTTGCTGTAAGGAATAATACTGCACTGCCGATACCATCCTAAAAAAAGAAAGGGCATAAAAGGGTTTTTTTACATTAAATCTGAAAAAAATCAGTCACCTCAATGGATACTCTTTAAAACAATGGATTTTATTTGACAGGATTACACTTAACAGTTTTTGCCAATTTGTTTTTAAATTAAATCCCAAATTAGAAGCCTCGTCACAGGAGCCATTCCTTAAACTGCTTTCTTTCTTCTATAGATCTATGTACCTACTTACCTACTTATATTTTTAAACTGGTTCGAGCACTTAAGACTTCCTCTAAAACTTTCATGTCATATTTTAATTTCTGAATAAACCGTATTTTAGTAATATGTTAACTGGACCACCCATTTTAAGAACTGCTGCCTAGAATCATTAACATTTAGTGACGTAGCCTGCTGATATTCAGTCATGGTTCAACATTTAGTGATGTAGAGATGATAAAACATTTAGCTCTCTTAATCATATTACCTTCCCTGAGTACATAATTTGTAGACCTTAACAGCTCACACCTACTTCTCAACTGGCTGCTATACTATTTTTCTAAAACAAAATACTCTAGTATTTCTAAGGACTACCAAATTTTCCCTTTTATCCTACCAACCCTTCCACCCAAATTATTTTAAAAGTAAATATAACTGTAGACTTGTAAAGTAGCTACAATTACCCTAACAGGCCCTGCTACTGGGAATATTATTTGGAGTTCTAAAGTAATTCTAACCAACTGATTTTAAACTATTAAGAATGGAAGATTTCTTTGTCACCTAATACAGCTCCCGCATTCCATAATTGTTCTTAAGTCAAGAAAACCACGGAGTTACAACCTCAAATGGAATCATAGCAAATTATTAAGGAATATTCTTATAACACAGATGACAAAACAATTTTGTTTCTAAAAAAGTTAAATCTTAAAGCAAATCTCATGTAAATGTGTGAGAAATGCTCCTTTTCTGGTTTACTTTAATGGCAAGCTCCTTTACAGGAAGAACCATGAAATCTACAAGGCATAACTGGGATAACCACATATCCTACTTTACATTTACTGTACCAACACAATCAATTAAGGCATTTACTTTCCCTCTCAAAAGACTCCTGAATCAGCCAGGTATGCTGGTGCACGCCTGTAGTCCCAGCCCTGAGGAGGCTGAAAGCCAGTGTGTGCTACAAGTGAGACCCTGTCTCACAAAACAGTCTCCTAATTTGGACAGTAAATTATGTAGCATCTTTTGAACAACTATACTTAAAATAAACTACGTTACAATGAAGATGGGAAATAACACCACAATTTAAGATTCTAAATCATTTTAAATTTCGAAGAAGTTTGATCTAATGCATAGTAGTTGAAGATCCAGAAATCTTTCTCAGATTCTAACAGCAAGTCACTAGGCCTACAGAAAAAAGCCTGCACTTCTCCACTTCAGAGGACCAGTGATAACTAACTAATGATACTACCAAGCACGTGAAAACGGTTTCTTAAACACAGCTTGTGATACTTCTTTCAGTCTTCCTCTCCTTAGAAACTTTTGGTGTGATGCAAACCGGCTGTCTGATGTGTAAGTAAAGGAACAGAATACAATTTTTTAAAAAGGCATTAGCAACTTTTGGGAAAGAAATAGCATACTGAGTTAGGGATTTCTTGAGAATCAATTGTAGCCAATACGTTCTGATATAAATTTTATATACATTACTTATTATTTTTTATATAGACAGATATGACCTTCCTAGGATTCTGCTTTATATTTCTGAAATTTCTTTCTTTAAAGAATCTATAGATCATTGCTCAAGGTACTGCTTACTTTGTCTCTGAATATTAACCTTCAAATATCACTAATGTTCTGTCATCTCTGAAGTCAAAAGGGTAAAATGACAAAATGACAAACATAAAGCAACAAGAATCTCACCCAGGCAGGTTCCACTGCTCAGCCAGAATTTCACTCCCAATTTGTTCAGTATTTTGGCTGCTAGCTGCAGTAATTCCTTTGCACTCTTCTGGAAGGTCACAGCTTCCCCAGTGTTATCATCAAGGTACTGCTACAGATTTAACAGACCATCGGCTACCATTATTTTCAAATTACTAGAAATTTATGCGATAAGCATAATTGTTAGAAATTTAGTTACAAGCATAACTGAAACAAATTAAATTAAATTAAATGATGTTTTCGTCCTTTATTGATGGTACCAGTCTTTAAAGATTGTATAATACAGTAGAAAGAGTACAGAGGATTTTAAATTAGGTTATCTACATTCAAATCTGTATCATTTCTTTCCAGCTGTGACCCTGGGCACATTATCTCTGAAGAATATAAGCTTCATTTTATTTCTCATTTATCTCTGGTGCCTACAACAGTGCCTGAATATTTGCCCAATAATCACAGAATGAAACAGTAAACAAACTATCACAGATCTAATTTCATCATTTATATCTTAAGGATAATCACAATTTGCAGGACTGGTGTGATGAATTAAGGATAAGTTATATGTAACTTTTGGACAACTATAGTTAAAATAAAGAAGAATTAAGGAGAAAAACACTTTGCAAAGTACAAAGTTTTACAAGTATTATTACCATCTATGCAGTCATTTTTCTTTGCTGGTATTTCTCAGTTTTACTGTGCTGGGACTGAGGAATACACCCTAAGTTCACTGGTAATGCTTTACTATGTATGTGACAAAAGTTGAAACTACGTAGCCTAGCAGACAACGACAACTGGTCCCTGACAAGTGGCTGAGCCTTATCTAACCTAACATAATTTAGTATTATAGCAAGCCCTCTCCCATTTACAACAACTCTTTTAACCTGTGTGACTTTATATATGTTGCTTTTTCTGTCAGCTCTGCCCTTGACTGAGAAAATCTTTTAAGTCTCAGTTCTAACCTCTGAGAAACAGTCCCTGATTTCCCCAGGAACACAAATGTCTTTATTCTACTAGTGTTCCCCTTCATTTCAACATTTATGGAGCAAAGAATTATGTATGGTACTACATATACAAAGATAAGCAAAATAAATCTGTTCCCCAATGAGCTTATAACAGTTATAGAAGACAGACTTTAGCAAACTGTAATTGGTGATTTTATTTCTATTTCTTCTTCTGGACTGCACAGATGGTCCCATGAGCAGGTACTGTTTCTCTCTGTCACTGTAGCTGCAGATTTAGAATCTGCCTAACATGTAAGAGTAACATGTGACCAATTCAGACTGAAGAGTGGGAAATGAACAGATGACTGAATAAGTCCCACCCGTGCTTACAATGTCCTAAGCCACCCTGTGATTCTTTCATAATATCTTAGGAGTATGCACACAGTTTCTGGAAACACACGCCGGGAATTATAAAGGCTAGGACTAAAGGATCTTGAAGGAAGTGAGCTTCCTAAAGGTAAGTTGCAATCTACAGACAAAAGGGTGCCCTCAATGTGAAAACAACCCTTTTCTCAGAGTTTTAATTTCTTTTAGGACACAAGACTGCAATGAAAGACACACATTTTTATGCTTTTGTAGCAGAAAAAGCCCAAAGTTTGAAGTTTGAAGGTCTAGGTTTAGTCACCCTGTATTTTAATTATGCTTTGTAAACCTTGTGATCACCCTGCCTCTAAAAAAATATAAAATTTAGTATCTTAAATGTTATTCCCATTTTAATCTTTCCCGTTTTGCCAATGGGCACACAATGTCAAGAATAGTGGATCCAAAGCACAAACCTTTCCCCCTGATAACAAGATCATAAACAAGACGAGGGAAGCTACCTATTTTTCCAAGATGAGGAAACCAAAGATCAAATTTTTTCCCCAAGATTTCAGAACAAAAATATAACTGTACAGATACTCCTAGTTCAGGTGCCCAGAAATTTCCACATTCCCTTATGGTTTTTCACTGAGATTCAACAGGCTGGAACTCATGTATTATTCTGTGATGATTTTTAAAAATTTTTCTTTTTTTCTGAATCAAAATCAAGTTCAGGAAGATGTGAACCTAATTCTGAACTTCTTGGTGGACTGAGAAAATAATTAAAAGTAAACAGAGTCAGAACACTTCCTGTAAGTGAAGCTAGCAGACAATATTTTAATCTTGGGAATGACGCGAATATTAACAATAACAGGAGAAATTGAAATCAAGCAACATCTAACAGAATACAGTGAAAAGAGTACAGCATCATTATTCATTTGAAAAATGTTTAATAAGAAACTACCAAAAGGAAAAACCAGATAAACACCAAATGAGGAATATTTTATAAGATATCTGACCTACAATCTTCAAAGTATTGTAGTTATAAAGGGCAATAAAGGACTAAGAAATTGTCCCAGATTAAAAGCGACCAGAAAAAAAGACCACCCCCCAAAGCCCCAAAACAACAACAAAAAACAATAAAATTGGTATACTATGTAATTCTAAACTGATTCCTTTTATTCCAAAGGTCATTAGTGGAATATTCAGAAAAATCTGAGTGAAGCTCCAGTGCATAACCTATGTGTTAATTTCCTAATTTTGGCATTAGGACATGTAGAAGAATGTTATTATTTTTAATTACTTGGTTATAAGGCATCTGCTCTATGGCTTCCTCCCAAAAAGGTTAAAAAAAAGTGTTATTTGCACTGTACTTTCAATTTTTAGCTACGTCGGAAACTGTTTATAAAATATTCAAAAAAGTAAGGAGGCTGCTTTATAAAGTCTATTAGGTTAGTTCATTGCTTCACTTTGAGCATGCATTGTGTTTAGCACTGGCGCCACCAAGTGTTCAAATATATGTATGTTTAATTTGAAAAGGGACCAGCTTGCTATTTTTCAATCAAGTTTCTAACACAAGAAATGATAATGAACCAAAAATTTAATAGGGCAAGGATTCAAAACCATTATCAAACCCACTAGGTGTATCAATAATACCAATTCAATTGCAGGAAAGAAAAACAAATTAGGAATCCTAAGTCGACCCTGCTGCAAGGGAAAAAACCATAATGAATGAGCACAGTTTCACTTGACCATGTCATGAACAGGCTTACAGCCTCACTATCTCATGTTATTTTAAATACTGCCCTTAATACCTTAAAAAACCAGAGAATGACATTACTCAAATGATTTCTCAGTTCTTTGAAACACTTCACCAAATGAGAAGGGCAAATGAATATGAGCGAATTCTTGTTAGCTTGATCATTGTGAGGTTGCAGTAGTTCTAGTAAGGGTTCGTAAAGGTCTCTAAATTAGTTGAGCCCCTTGTTCTCCATGCATTTTCTCTCATTTATAGGATCTTTTCTTTGTGCCAGGTAGTGTGATAGATACTTGAGCAGCAACCAGAGCAAATTCCCTCATGACAGGAAGAGTAGATACTAAGTTTAAGCACCAAGCCTCATCCTTTTCCACTTCCTATTACTAAGTGGTAAGAATGCATCAGGCAGACTTTGCCAACTACAGTAAGCCAATTTTTACATGCAAGTTTTCTAGGTTTTCTTTCATTAGGATCAGTAAATTCTACAGGCTAACAACTACAAGTTTAAAGGACCAGTGTACCATGCCAGAGAAATCTAACATTTGTAGGTCTTCGTCATTTGGTGGTAATGTAAAAGTATATGACATGTTTTTCGTTCCTTTTGTGTGTGTGTGTGTGTGTACTAGGAATGGAACTCAGGACCTCATACTTGCCAGGTGGGCACTTATGCCCCTGAGCTGTATCTCCAGCCCTTCATTCCATTCTTGTCCTTGTGTATACAGCTTTCTGGGTAGAAAACTTCACAAAGTAAGAGGCAAGTACAGAGATTAGGGTACCAAAATCCCACCGTCAATTTATGTGTTTTCATTATATTGGCGGTTTCATGTTATCTCTTAAGAGTTGAACTTTCATGCCCTTCAAAAGTCATCTTTATATTCCCAGAAGTTGGAAACAAGCTTTCAATAAGTGTTTATTGAGTTGAACACCGGAGCAGCAGGAAAAAGTTCAAAACATATTTGGTTTTTGCGAAACATTTGTCTTCATAAAATTTCATAAAGAAAAAATACTCATATTGTATGCCAAAATGATGAGGAAAACTGTATTTTTTCATCAAGTCTGTTCTAAATCTACAAGATCCATCTCTCACAGTGGCTTCATTCCACTTGGATTGCTTCCAAAAGAGAATTCAGCATCTTTCATAAAGTTTATGAGTTATAGTAACCAAAGGCAGAGGCCAGTGCCAAATACATTGTTCTATTCAAAGAAAACAATAAATACCAATTCATAGACTTAGGAAAGAAGTGGTTTTCCGACACTAATTTTTAATCTAATTTTTAAAAGTTAAAAGAAAGCAAATTAGGAGAAAATGAATGAAATGAAACATCTTACCTGTTTTCCACAAGTTCCTTCAGTCCCTCTGCCCAGATTTTTAAAAACACACACAACATTTCCTTAATATTAAAAGCACATAATTTGTCTCTAACCTGAAAGAACGTTCGAGCTTCCTTATACCTACACTCAATAAATCTAGAGTGTGGAATTTCCTCCAGAAAGTGCGTGGGGTCTTTCGGAATGAGAACTTCTAGCCCATCGATAGTAACTTGCTGTAACTCTGGCCTGAAAACAGAGTTAAAATTCATTAGAAGGATTTGATCCAGAATACTGGCAGTCTCTTCAAGTATTAAACACTAGGAAAATAGTTAAACTTTGACTATTTTTCTTTAGTTATCTTGGGCAGCAATTATGAACTATAGTAAGAAAGTTTAAAAATCTGGTGCCAAATGGGAATTGAATTTTAAGGATTTTGGCTAATGTATCTTAAAAACATTTTTAGACGTATTCATATGTATTTTGGTATTTTTAGAAGTGACATAATTTTAAATTACCAATTTACTTTTGGAGCAGTAAATGTTTTTAGCACATAAGACACATAAGTAAATTATGCTAGTTTGAGCATCTCGTTACAGACAAAATGTTATCTGGCAATTAGTCTTATTCCCTCTTGGACACCACATTTTGCAAATATTCTTTAAGACTTTTCTATTCTTCTTTATATAAACTATACAATATAGAGATAGTTTATATATATGGGCCACATATTTATCAGATATTTATTGAACAGTAATTTTTAATTTAACTGATTAAACTTTGAAATAAGATATTAAAAACTAAAAATGTTTCACCAAGACATTTATTTAAAATACAGAACAAGGAAAAAATGTGCATAAAATTGTTAGAGCTAAGATTCTGATGAAAATAATGAGAAGCCAATATTAACAACTATTTTCTCTCTCCTGCTCCTTATTGATTTAATTCCTAAAAACCTGGATTGACTTAGAAAAAGTTTGACTTCACCAACACCCAAAATGTAGATGGCTTCAGTTTTAAGTACCTTTTCCAGTTGTTTTTCAAATGTGAGAATAAATATACTTTTATAGAATGGAAGTTGCCAAGAAAGGTTTCCAATGTAACACTTCCCACAAGCATGGTAAACTTTCAGGCAAAAGACAAATGTTTATTGCTACCTTCATATCACATTCTGGTCAAGGTTAGAAACTTCATGTTTGTTGTCTAATTTCAAGAATGTTTCTTTTTATCTTACAACTGATAAACTTTATGCAAGTCCCTTCATATAACTTTTCAGAAGAAATATTTTTATTGTAATAGCTAAGGATATATTTTTACATATAGTTTAAAAAAATATATAAGAACTTAATCCATAATGTCACACAATAACAAACTAAAAAACCCAATTCTCCACCACAGAAATTCAATTTTTTTTCTGCTTCCCCACATCCTAAACCAACTCCCCCCACTGCCATGTTTATTTACCTTTTTATCGTGGAAGGGTCTCTGAGTTGCCTTTAACCGGGAAGACTATAAACAGTGTCTATGTGATCATTCATGTAAATTATATATTAGTGTCATTAGAAAACATTAAAAAGAATTCATCACTAGGCAATGCTCATTTATTATTTTCTCCTTTGGCTCTAAACCTACCTGTCAAAAGCTCCAGGGTAACGACCGAACTGTAACTTTCGAAAAGGAACAAATTTCCTGTCAATGTGCCCTTTGAGGCGCAGATGGCCATGCCAGAGGTAGCTTCCACTTCTCCCATGAAAGACCACCAGGTGGATGGCATGGGTGGCCCACTTACAGATGCAGTGCAGGGGGATTTCAGTTCCGGAAAGCGAGTCTATCCCATCTAGGCGAGGATCTTTGTTCTCAGTCTTTAGGCACTGAAATCCCATACTCTCAGCTACTGGAAACCAGCCTTCCTGAAATCAAATAAGTTATCAAACCTGAATATTTAAAACCAAACCACAGTAGCAAAACTAAAGTGACTGTTACATTGAATAAAAGCCATATTGCTGTGTTAATTTACTCCTCACCAAAAGACTTAAAGAGGGTTATGAGCAGAAGGTTCTGGTGAGAGAACAAAGGAAGTAGCTAAAAGAGAAATTATGTATCACAGAAGGTACCTTCAAGGATTCTCTTCATGAAAACTAAGTTGATATAAATTTCTCCCTTGAAATGAGAATGTTCATTTTAGTGTTCCCTGGTTAGTTTCTCAAAAGTAAATGTTAATATCACGAACACTTACAATTAAATTTGCAATTATGAAATCCTAACACTTTAAATGTTACAAGAGAACACATTATAATTCAACTAGACCAATAAATAATGAAACATAATACAGACAAAGTACATGTTCAACATCATTTGGGTGTAAGTTAATATAGCAAGATTAACTTATGTGGTGGATGTTATGGTTTGTGTATCGTATCATGCAGTTCCTGGTGAGGCTTTTCAGAGGTGGCCAGACCTACCTGTGTGATGCTGGGATTAAGGCTTTGTGATGACAAAGTAATTCCACTGACGGATATGGCACAATTATGGGTGTGTGCAGTGGGAAGGGAGAGGAGGGGGCTGCTGTCACTGCTGCTGCTTCATTACTTTGCTGCCTTCCGCCCACCATGCTCTGTTTCTCTCTGTGATGCCCCTCTGCTATGCTACTCTGTCTTGGAGTCAGCCAACTATGAAGTGAAATTTCTACAAACTGTGAGCTAATAAATCTTTTTTCCCTTAACTTTGGATGTCAGGCTTAGCAATAAGAAGCAATAAGCAGATTTTAGTATTAATTTCAACAATCACAATCATAGATAAGTGTTTTATATGTATATATTATATATACACACATACATATATATACACATGAATTTGTAATTTCCAGAGAACTTTCATTTATATTACTGCATTTGCACATCGCATCTATTCTATATAATGTAAATTGTACAAGTATTATAGACTAGGAAACAGAATCACAGAAGTCAAGTTTCTGATCTAAAGCACTGTAAGCATTGAAGTCTCTTCCAACCAAAATTTAGATGCCTTCTATTATTTAACACAATCTCTCTAGTTTATATAACTATAGAAACTATGTGAGATTACCAAGGGAAATATTATATCCAGTCTACAGTCATGGAAAATGAAACTCTAAGAAGTAATTCCAGCCATTAAGGTTGTAAAACGATGGGCTGAAGTTTGTCTCAGTGGCCATCGCATTCAGAAACATTGTGCAAGAGCACTGTTTTCATCACTCATTGGATTTCAGTGCTGCCATCTGAATTAGTTGTAATTTCATCCATGTTCTTACAAAACACAGAAACGTCCATATTCTTATTTATTATGTTGTTTTTAAACTGTTTTTAAATGACTAAACTCCTCTAACAGAGTCTAAGGTACTCAACCACAGGTATCAATAGTGTCTAGAACCCAGCAGGTAATCAACAGATATTTTTATTGTTTATGTTGTTAAAATAAACGAAAGTGACTAAGTCTGGTGGACAGTGCTAACCCATATTGATAAGTGTCTTTTCCTTTTTGGGGGGTAAGAGGTATACGCTGCTATGGAGTTCAGATTGGTGTTGAATTCACAGTAATCTTCCTTCCTCAGCCTCCTGAGTGCTGGCATTTCAGGTGTGCATCGCTAAACATGGTTTCCTTTCTAAATATAGAGCTAACTTGTGTTCTGGTCAAAGAAATATAGATAGATGCATCATACACTACTTCTAGGCCCTCAAAACATCCCCCAAGTCCCATGTCCTCATTCCATTTGCACGTATGAAAGCAAATAACTCCCAGGATGAGAATACCATACAAATGAAACAGCCTGTGTTACTGCCTTTGGGAGAGCTGCCCAGACAGATCTGTGATTGGGAACATCCACAATGGGCTTTGTACAAACACAAATATTCCTTTCTTGTGGTAAATTAATAATACTATAGAGCTTCTTTTAATGGAAATCAATGTAACCTATCCTAGCTAATACAATTTTGCCTTGATTCTCCTTATATTAGATTATCAACTGTAAACATTTTTTTCATGATACACCTAAGAAGCAGAAAGCACTGACAGAATGATGGTGACCAATCTAAGAAAAGACATTACAATACTATTATAGAATAGAAGGCTGTTTAAATTGGTAAATCTATGAAAAATTAAATAGTCTAGCCAAATCTTGAAAAAAATCTGACCCTGGTTGAGAGTGGAGAGAAAAATGAACAGACAAACTAGATAGAATGAAAAGGCTTGGTTTTATATAACCATAAGTAAAAAACAAAGTATTTGCTCTGATCAAGCAAAGGTCTACTTCAAGGCTATGCTGCAGAAAACTCCCTGTTGCCTTAAAAATGGTTTCCCCACTTTATGGTAATCGTACCAATGAAGGCAAATCACATGTAAATGAAGCCTACAGCAATTAGAGCTAAAGATCTAAATGGCCCCACGTTAAGAGAATATCATATGTATAAAAGGATGTGCCTATTTTTGTGCTTCTTCTGAGTATAGGTGACCTTTCTGCTGGTTCCACAGAAAGTGGAAATAATAGTTTAGCTAATTGTGGCACATTTCCTTTCCTTCACATCAGTAGTTCTCAAGGCAAATGCTACTGTACTTGAGATATTTTGGAAACTTGTGGTGATATTTTGGTTTATTATAATGATATACCAACATTTAGAGTCACAGGTTAGGAACACTAGAAATTCTTTTTTTTTTTTTTTTTTGTCTTTTTCATTTTTATCGGTACCAGGGATTGAACTCATGACCATCTGCTTACAAGGCAGGTGCTTATGCCGCTGAGCTAAATCCCCAGCCCTACATTAGACATTCTTTAGTCCAAAAATATGAAAATCTATCTTTTGTCTTACATAATTTCAGATGTTCTATCAGTATCACAAAGTAAAAAGCTGAATTATCTTATTTTCTAGAATACATATACATGAGTATTTGACACTGAAATATACACTATTTGCTTTTCATCTACATAATTTATGTAAGACAGTACATTAATTTGGGGGTTATATATGTAGAAGGGTTATAATTTCTACAAACTTCATTTTGGGAAAATAAAAGACATCATACAATGCTCTTTGTAGAAACAGTGTGTAACTTTGGCAGATTTTTTTCTATGAGAAAATCAAACTCAGTAGTGATGGCTTTCAAGTACAAGAAGTGAAAGTCTCCCCAGTGAAAACACTGGGACATTCATTACCCTACAGAAAATTTCACTGGTAATGAAGTCTGACTATTTAAAAAACACTTCTAATTAGCTTGCAGTCTCTTCTTCTTAAATATGAAAAAAAGATCAATAAATATTGTAGAAAACTATACCAACAAAACACACAAGCAGTCTCCCCACAAGAGGAAGCAGACCTCACCTACACGAGCAATCAGGCCCATGCAGTATAGTGTCCCAGGCCCATGCAAGCAAGCACGCCTGTGAACTAAATGTGAAGCCTCCCTCAAAATGAAGGGCGAGATGATCAGTAAACCCCAAGGTGGCTCCACATTGTACTTCCCGTTGGCACAGGGCAGCACAGGCGAGGACAATGCTCCAGAGAGAAGGCAGTAATTAGATCCCATGAATGCTGACGTTAAGTTCAACAGACCCTCAACCTATGGCTCATATCCAGCAGAAGCCAGAGGGCTGACCGTGTTCCCATCAACCAATGGGAACAAGCACACATCTTGGTTTGGATGGTAACTGGTCTGGATGAACACACACAGCACCTCTAGGGGAGAGAGGTCACCTCAAAAACCCATAGGCATTGAGATGGGCAGAGTGAAGCATCACGGGCTTTATCTCAAGACAGCTGGTTTCGGGAAGAAATCACTTTTTAAAAAATAATAAAGTTAAAAAAAAAAAGTGGAGTGGTAAGTTACAACAACCCAGGCTCTCTAAGAGCCGGGAGAGACTTGACCTTCCCGCCAAAAGAAAAAAAAAAAAAAAACATTAAAAGATACAAAAGAAACAGCACATTAGAGAAGAGGTCTGTACTTTCTTGGCAGACAGTGGCTGCAAGTGGCTAATCATGGTTACTAACAGCTGGCTGCTACTGATGTGACAAAGTGAAAGGAAAACTTTCTCCTCACAGCAGAATGAATGAGCCTGCAGCAGCTGGGATCTGCAACAAGGGCGGAGGACTGTGCTACCAGTGTTTTTACAGACAACAGCTGCTGAGTGACCCTGATACAAACATCTGTCTTTGCTGGGGAGAGTGCCTGCTGGGACAGCATTCTAGGAATGTGCCGAGAGTCTCAACTTGGGACCCAGAGCAGACACTTGGTTTCACTCCCAGGGCTCCCACTGTCACATTCCCGAAGTCAGAGAGGACAGCACGAGGCACAGCAGGCAGGAGGCAGGCTGGAAACACCACAGACTCAGCTCCTGGGGTCTGAGGCCAGGCTCAGCCTGAGCTGCTTGGGATTTAAGTCAGCTCCAGCACCCTTGTCCTGTTATCCTCTATGTCTGCATCCAGCAGGGACACGGGGTCTGACTACCTTTATCTACCAGGGTGAGAGGAGGGAGAACATCCCGGTCAGAACACTGTCCCAAAACTAGATCCTAGAAGAAAGTCGTGCACACAAAATAATGGAAGAATTTCTTTTCTTTGCTTTTTTGCTACCCGGGCTCGAACTCACAGTGTTGCCCTCACCAGGCAGGCCTTACACCACTGAGCTAAATCCCCAGCAGAGAATTTCTTTCCTTTTATTTACATTTTGCTTTCATTTTTTTCTTACCTTTCTCCTTTTTTTTCTTAAGAGTGTGTGTGCGCGTGTGTGCGTGTGTGCGTGTGTGTGTGTGTGTGTGTGTGTACTCTTTCCTTTTTTCCCCACTGGTTGATAGAGGACAGGGGAATTCTCCTTTATTCTTTTTCCTTGCTTTTCTCTTTCCTACCTGTTCTTCTTGCTATTACTGTTTTTCTTTTTTCCCCCC